GGGCGCCCGGGCGGGGGCGGTTGGTGGTGCGGGGCGCGCGCGCGCGCATCTGGCTCTCACCCTTCCGGTGACGAGCGCGCCGGGCGCGACGTCGCCCCACTCGATGGCGCCCCCCTCGTCAGCATCTGGCTGCCCGGCTTCCGCCTCGGCCTGCAGGCGCGCCGCCAGCTCGAGATCCCTGGGGGTTGGTTCACAAGAGTAGGGGTCGACCGGGGAGAGGTGAGGTGACCAAGGGAGGGGGGTGATTTCAAAGCGCAGGGGTGAACCAGAGAGGTCGGGTGGGAATCAGAGGGGTCGAAACATAGCGGGGTTTCGGGGGGGGGGGACCAGAGAGGGTCAAGTTGACCAGCGAGGGTCGGGGTCGATCAGCTCCGCCGCTGTTCTCCCTGGCTTTCCGGTGCTTGTGGTAGAAACAAGCTGCAAACACGAGGGGGGTTATCAGTGGCGGCGTATGCGCAGATATGCTGGGCGCAGCGATGTACTAGAGAAGGGGGACGGAGCAGGACGGGTGGGCGAACAACAGGGCAGGGTGAACGACCCTGTACGCTGCGTTTGGTGACGTATGACACGGGTGCGTGTACGCACGCGCACACACACATGTACTCAAACATAGAGAAACATTCAACAAGTTACCAACAAAACCCAGGCATGCGTGCAAAAACCCACACACATACGAACACACACGTGCAAACACACACACACACACACACGCACACACACAAGCACACACACACACACACACACACCTGAAGAGCGACTCCAGCAGCTCCCCATCCGCGGCCCCCACCGCCGACGGCTTCAGGCTCAGGCTGAAGCGGCCGCGCTCCGCGTCAACCTCCGACACGATGGTGCGCACGGACTGGCCGGCGGCAAAGTGGTGCGAGGGGTCCGTCACAAAGGTGTCCGCCAGCTGAGGCAGGCCGGCCCTGGGAGCAGCGGTTGGGTTGCAATTTTCGATACGTGGGGTGAGCTGGTAACGTGAGAAGCACGGCGGGGGAGCGGAGGCTGCCAGCAGATGCTGTTTGGGCAAGGGAAGACAAAGCAACGCCCCAGGGGCAGGCGCAGGGGGTGGTGATGACGTCACCGGGTGCGAAAGCTGCAGGGTGCGGCCGGGCAGCACGGGGCCCACCTGCCGGTGACGCCGTTGAGGAACCGCACGAAAACGGCGTCGTTGGTGACGTGGGCCACGTAACCCGGCAGTGCCGTGCCCGGCGTCATCGCGTCCAGCGATGACGGCAGCCGCGGCGCGGCCGCCAGCAGGGACGCCTTGCGAGTCACCTGGTGTGTGAGGGGAGCCGGTGCAGGCGGGCCACTCCTCAGTGCGCCGCCATTGCAGCTGCCGCATCGGCAGGCGGGCTGCTCTGCAAAGTTTGGCCGCGACGGCCGCGAAGTGTCGGGAGCGTCGGCGAGCGCCGCGTCGCGGCGCAACATGCGATCACCCAAAATCGCCATGTCACTTTGCCCCTCCCTCCCCCCCTGCCCCGCACCAGCCAGCCTGGCGCGCCGCCCTTCTTGGACTTCTTCCTCTTGCCGCCCTCCTTGGCCTCCCGCCACCTGTCCTCCCCCGCCGCCTGCTGCAGCACAAGCAGCGGCCCCAGCTCGACCCCCGGGCGCAGCTGCTCAGACAGCTTCTCAGCGGCTGCCGGGTGGTCGGACAGGTGGGCCTTGGGCAGGCGGGCGGTCACTTTGGTGCCGTCCTTGCCTGGGCGGGGTGAGACGAATGATTTGGGAGGCGCGTGTGTTGCACTGCGCTTTCATGCAAGCACCAGGGGCCGCGCGTGCAGCCCATGCCGCCAACGCTCGCACGCGCGCATGCATGAAAGGGTGGGTCGCCCAACAGGGCGCAGCAAGGCGCCGAAGGGGCCGGTCAATCCCGACGTCTGCACACCCCCACTCCACCTGCTCTCGCCATCCCACCCTCAACCCCCCCCCCCACACATACACACACACATCCTACCAACATCCACAAACAACCTATCGCCATTGTCGGCCCCTCACCCGTGATCTCCAAGGTCACCACGCCCTTGCCGCCCTCCTTCTCCTCAACCGCCTTCACCACGCCCCCCTCCACCACATCCCCCGGCGCCAGCCCGCCGCCGCCCGCCGCCTCCTTCCCCTTCTTCCCGCCCTCCTTCGCCGCCGCCGCAGCCGCGGCCGCCGCCTCAGCCTCCGCCTCGGCGGCCGCCGCGCCCTTCTTGGACGCTAGCTGCAGGTCTATCCGCCGCGCATTCTGGTCCGAGGTTAGCACCTGCACCCTCAGCACCTGCCCAACCTCGTAAAGCGCGTCCATCTTCTGCCCGGGCAGCAGCGACAGGCGCGGCTTGCGGACGACGCCTGAGACGCCGTTGTAGAACGTGATGAAAAGGCCGAAGCCGTCCTTGATGCCTGGAGGGCCGCCGCCGGGTGCAGGGCAGAGAGCGGAGGGGACAGGGGTCGGTTGGTGAAGGGGGTCGAGAATCGGCGGCTGAGCGGGGAGGCTTTTGTATGTCAGGTGCAAAACCAGCACGTTTGTGGCCGTGGGTGGGGTTAGGGCTTGAGGAGGAGTGCAAGGGACGGGCGGCGCTGCCGAGCGCCGCGCCAGCGGCCACCGGCAAAGGGGGAACCGCAAGAGCCGGGCGCCGCGCGCGCACCTGTGACGGTGCCGTGAGCCTTGACGCCGGGCGCGGCCTGCCGCAGGTCCGAGAGGGGGGCCAGCTTTGAGGAGAGCAGCGTCTTCTTGAGCGTGAGGGTGACGCGCTTGGTGTCCGGGTCGACGGACAGCACGCGGCCTTGGACAGCCTGAGGGTGCGGTGAACGAGATGAGGCGCCGGGCGTCAGAATCAGGTGCCGGCAGGACAAGGCGCGGTGCGCGACGCCGCAACACACGCAGTGAAGCGTGCAAATGACGGCATGCGGCGAGAATCCACCTCGTCGCCCCTGCCCTGCTGCCTCGACGCCGGCCGCTGCCCTTAGCGCCTTCGACGCGCGCTCCCATCGCGATCGCTGCCCCTCCGCGCCCCGCACACACCGCCGGCCCACCTGGCCCTCCTTGAACTTGTCCTTGGCCCTCTTGCTGCCCACGTCGCTGACATGCAGCGGGGGCACGATCGCCTTGATGCTCGGGGTCACCTTTTAGAGCCGGCGGATGGGTTGATTGTCAGAGCTAGCCCGTACCAATTCAGCAGCGTCGGCACACGCCAACCTGCAAGCATCTCCATGCAGCAGGCAAAGTCAGGCAGCCCCAGAGTGTTGCAAATCAAATGTTAGGCCTGAAATCAATGCAGTTGCGCCTGGTCAAACACAATTGACCGGGGTCAAACGTGGCGCGCACCCTGACCACCAGGCCCTTGTCGGGGTCTGCGCTGAGCACTGTCGCCTCCAGGGGCTGGCCAGGGTACAGGTCCTTGATGCTGTACACCTGATGACGTCAAAATGAGACGCCGCCATGACACCACAGGGATCAAGAATAAGGGGCAGCACGGGCGGTCGGCGATCAGCAGCCGACAGCCGGTTTTACCGCAGCTGTGGTGGACACTGCCGCGCGCCAGTGCTAGCAACTGCACGCCGCACTCCCAGAATTCAAGGGGGCCGCGGCCACGGGCAGCGAGGGCCTGCGAGAGCACAGCCGCGGCGGGAGCCCGCGCGTCGCACCCGCGCCCACCTGCTGCGCGATCACCGATGGCTTGAGCGACACCAGCGCGAGCCCGTCCACCAGCCTGAACCCTATCACGCGCGCCTTCACTTTCTGCCCCGCCTTGAATGATTTCTCCGGCTTGTCCACGCGCCCGTCCGCCAGGTTCGACACGTGGGCAAACGCGGCGGCGGGGGTGGGGTCCATGGGCAGCTCCAGCAGCAGGCCCAGCACAGGGTCCACGCGGCGGACAACGGCGGCGTCGAAAATCTGGGTGCGAAAACGTGCATGCAAAGGGTTCAAAGGGTTTCATTGGGTGTTTCAACAGCGAAAACAACGGATGTACGCGTAATTGAGAGGTCGACCTGTCGCAGCAGTGTGGCGGGTCAGGGGCTTCACGGACCGCAAGGGCTGGTTTTCGCGCGCAGTCCGGCCGGCGACACGCGCGGCGCGGCGCGCGCCTTGAGGGCGAGGGG